TTTTTAAATATATTTTTCAGTTTTAGTTTTTTTTATCGGTTTTAAAGGTTCAAAATTTTACAAGTACCAAAGTTATGAGTTCGGAGGTTTATGTGTTTGGAAGTTTACGGGTTTAGAAATTATAAAGTTTACGGATTCGAAATTCTGTGGTTTCGAAAGTTTAGCGGTTCGAAAGTTTATGAAATTTGTGGATTCGGAAGGTTGTTGGTTTGAAAGTTTATGGCTTCATGTTTATTAAATTATTTATGAATACTCTTGAGAAGTTATTTTCCTTAATTTTCGTACCAAACACCGGAAAATGAATAAGATTACTACTTATTTTTCAAGAAAATAACATTTTCTGTTATACCAAACATACCCTTAATCATCTTTCATTTTTTGCTTTTTCGAAGGGAATATGACCAAAATTTAAGCTTCTCTACAGTCTTCCCACTTTGACTCTTAAATTTCATTTGAAGTTAATTTGGAAACACTAAGAAGACCAGGGTATTCTGAAGTGGATGAATTGAGTTAAAACTTAAAAACAGGCATAGAAAACTTTTGGGAAACTATCAACTATGTACATTTATAAGTAGCTCATTACAAAAATTGGCTAGTTCATAAAATATTACTAATATTAGCCAAATATTATTAATATTAGTCAATTAGCTATTTGTAGCAAAAAATATCAAAATTTTACTTTCTTTTGAGTGGGTGTTATTAGAATATATTGGGTACATCTTAAGGAGCTCGAATCTCAATTTTGGGATGATTTGGTAAGTTTTGAGGTGGTTTGAATTGAAAATTCGAAGTAAAAACTGAACATGAAAAAAATGATATGTGTATCACACTTTGTATCATTTGTGCATCACATATGTATCAATTGTGGATCTCATGTATATCCATGTATACCTGTGTGTGAGATACATGTTTGATATATGTATCGCAGAAAGATTTTTTGAACTCAATTTAATTACTAATTTTGACACAAAACCAATCCAAATCACCTCCAATCTTCCTCAAATTTTGTACATTGACTTATCTATATGTTTTCAATGAATTTCAACTATACCCATTGAAAAAGTTCCTTTTTTTCCTTAGATTTTTGGAATATTATATAATTTTTTTGTATTTCATCACCATTTTTGCTACCTCATCCATGAAATTTCCTTTCCGTCTTGCATTTAATATGGCTAATCACGTTTAAAAATATGGAAGGTGATTTTTGCATGTGATTCTTTGAGAGAAAGAACCTTATCTATTTGGTTTTTCAATTTTTATATGTGCTTGGCTAGTTTTGGTAAGTCTATGACTAATGGCTAGAGGTTGGTAAGTTGGGACTTATTTGGGACATTTGTGTAAGTTTCCCATTACTTTTAGCCTACGGCCGAAACTATTTACATTCGATAGCCGCAAAAGTGTATAATATATATATATATATATATATATATATATATATATATATATATATATATATATATATATATATATATATATATATATATA